TTAACTGAAAAATGGAGTTTTATTTCCTCTGAAGAATAGGAGGGAGGAAAAAAGAGAAGAGGAAACAAAAAGGAAAAATAACAATAAAAGAAAAAAAGATTCACACACAAGAGAAAAGTCCTACTTGAATTAAATAATATCTTACTACTTGCTTAAGTAACAATGAAATTTTTATTGTTGTCATTTCTCTGTTATAAATTCCAACCAGAAGAAAAAGAGATTTTTTTTTTTTAAAGATTTTGAGGTCTGAATGGCAAATACGATTTACAACAACACACAAATGCTGATGGCAACAGGTAAGTTTATAACTCCATCTTTTCTTTCACGAGAATGAAGGATGTAGTGAGAAAAATAATTTAGAAAGCTATTTTGTTTTGGTTTTACTAGTGAGCATTTCAGTGGTAAAGGTCAAGCAAAACATCTTTTCCCCCAGCAAGAACTTACCAAGGCTTGTGAAATGGAAAATCATGGATACAGATTCTTTTAAACTATCTTTCTAAAGAATAACAAGAAAAATTGAAATAAAATGCATGCAACTGAACTGAAAGAGAAATACAGTTTAAAACATCTTCCTTAATTACTATTAAAAGGTGGGAACACAGTAATGTGTTTTATAAGTTATACAACTAAAAAAGCAGCCTTCAAGTTAACCCACTTTGAAATTACTGAGATAACTAGCATCTACATTTAACAGCTGACATCTTGGTAGAAAAAAATCATCCCATGCAGTATTAATACTAATGGCTACACTACCATCAATTTGAAATCATAAGAAATTTTGATATGAGAAAAGTACATTTAAAGAATGGCTGGAACAGTGGTAACTTCCAAAACCTGGAGTAATCCTGAATTACTGGAAAGGGGGGAAATTTAGAAACAAAGGTCAAAATAATTAATTGTCCTCTTCTTTTGGCTATAATCCTACAAATATTCAGTAATGTTGTGGTGTTTACCCGGAGGTGCTTTCCATATTTATGGATAAGGGTAATCATTATAGTGATTTAGGCTGCCAGGTCTTAGCTTATTGACCGGTGCTTGGATTAGTAATGCCACTTGTCCTGCCTCATGTAACTAAAAAAGAAAAATGACCAACAGAAACACAGAGCTAAAAGAAAAACACCTTCACATTTCTGACAGACAGAAAACTGAAAAAGCAAAACTCATATTCATAGATGAAAACATAGCAAGGGTCACAAGGCAATCACGACAGCTCAGATCTTTCTTTGTTGCTGTGGACAGTTAAGACTACCGAAGTCAATAGTGGGAACATTCGGGTGGCTTGTTTTAGGTATGACAACATTGTTTTACCTGTGCAACCATTAGGATCTGCAAGAGTTTTCCCTACTCCTGCAGTCTCAGTGCACAGAATCCTGCATGCACAAAGAACACCTCAAGAGGAAGAAGAAATATTTGCAGATGCCTGCCTGTTTCCTGCCCTCTAAGTAAAGCAGGGCATTTGTGCAGCTTAGTAGGTGCTGCCTTTGTGGTAGCTGCCGTGAGATTAAAACCACACGCAGTGCCATCTCCACACTCTGGCATAAAAATGCTGCTGTGTGCTAGCAGGGCTGACTTGTGCTGCCACCGGGGTCAGCAGAAACAGAGCAAGTTCCTTGCCTGGACTCTTGAAGCTCAGTGGTTTCTCTAGCCTGTGGCATGATGGGGAACCAAAAGTAGTTCTCCCCAAACCAAATTTCATCCTAATGCACATGTACCATTAACAATCCACTTACAAAATAAATATGCAAATACCCTGCCCCCCAACAAGGACTATTTCCTATAGTAATGTCACTGCGTTATCATGAGGAATGTAATATAAATTTAAGTCTTCTTTCCCTAAATAATATTAACCTTCTTTCCAGTCAGCCAGATTTCAAATTGTTCCATTGTTTATGCTGCTTTCTGCTTCTGAATGCCTTCATTGTGCTTCTAGGAATAACTGAGTGACAACTAATTACAGTCTTCTGATCACATGAAGGAAAATAAAGAAAGTAGAAAGTAACTAAAAAACCTAAAGAAATTGGCAGCATCACAAGTTCTGCTTCTCTCTAAATGACAAACAGCACTTCCCCACTGTGTTACTAAAATCTATAGATCATCTTACAGACAAAAGAAAATAAATTCCTTGCATATGCAGTATCTTTTGGCAAAAAATGAACTGAAAACTGCTTATCAGACGCGCTGGATAGAGGATGCTCACGCAATCTTCTATCGGGCTTCAAGAGACCAAAATATTTTTCAGCAACAGCAGCCAAAAGAGAACACCATGCTCCAAGGGAAACAATGACACGTCGAGTGGGGAAAACTAACGCAGAGATCAGCAGTGCCTTCTCCTCTGGCTATGGAAGCATGGAGAGGCACTAATACCACATGCTTTACCTGACCAGGCACGATGCCCTGTAGCTGAACCATAGGCAACAAACAGGAGTTTGGAAGTGCAGTCATTCAGACAAGGATGAGATGACCCTCTCTAGTCATTTTTTCACCATTTCTAAATTACATATGAAGGAAGGGTATGGTAGCCCAGCTCCCTGTGCTACTCACCACTCTGAGAGCGTGTCTCTGTGAGGACAGGGACTGTGCTGCACTAATACTATACAGCACAGCTCACAGCTTAGGAGAAAACAATCTTAGAGTAGCTAATAACCAGACAGCTTTACTGCCAGCAGCAGCAACACCTGAGGGGCAAGATGGACAACTGCCTCGCATTCTCCCATTTTTCAGCTGTGTTGTTTTCGCACACCATGCAAATGTGAGCTGCCAAACCCGACTGCAAGCGCAGAATAGGGGCTACTTAAATTCCCATTTCTCCAGCACACTAAAGAAATCAGACTTTTCCCAAGCAGTGCAACAAAAAGAGCTGTATTTATCGCAGAGCTACAGTTCCCTGCCCATCATGCCTTTAACAGCTGTAGTGAGTGAGCTGGTTTCTGATGGACAGCCGAGACGCAGTAATCTGAATCCCACCATCCCACTGCTTATTCAGTGCTGATAGCTGATGTTACCCTCATATCACTTGCTGGCTTGCTTTTTTTTTAACGTTTTGACACTAGTCTTGAAAAGGAAGGATTTAAGATAAACCCTTTTCAATAACGCAAATGTGTTTTTTGCAATTAAAGCCACACAATTAGCAATGACGAGCTCAGGTCAGCAGAACACAGATTATGCTGTTCAAATGCTCTGCCACTCAGCGCCTCCAGCAAAAAGCTGCAGGAGAGGAGAAAAGAAAAAAAAAATCTCACACACATTATTTAACAACTTGTGCTCTGATGCACACCACCACTTGTGGATTTGTGGAGGGAGGTTCATTTATTTATTTACTTAAAATCCCATAGGCTCTGGCCTCCTTCTCCACTGGTTGCATTCCTTTCAGACAACAAGAACTATTCCTCATGGCAAGAAGGCTGGTAACATCTAGAATTAACATCTCAAAAATAAATATTAAGCAAATTTTAAAAGTCATAAAATGCTTGACTTAAAAATGTTTCCCTTCATTTTTCACCAAAAAAAAAAGGAAGTGTTGGCTTAAGATCTTCCTCACTCAGCCACTTGTATTGCCTAGACAAAGAAAGCAGATTCTTCTGTCGATGTGATGACATACTGATTAATTTTAATTGCATACTGTTCTTTTTATTTGAAGTATGTAAACAGTGTGTGTGTGCATGTATAAATCACAAAACCAGAAAGCTAAGTGTAGAAGCTAAAAGAATTTCTAATCAGCTGTATTTAGTTGTTTCCTCAGAAATGTCTTTGTTTCATTAATACTAACATTGGCACCTGCAGATCTTTAATATTAACATGGTGACTCCCTTCTCCCAGTAGACAGACAGAATCAACCATATATTTTAAATCCAAAGGTGGTATCATAGCTAAATGTAAGCAAACTAATCACTTTACCAGCACGATCGACGACTGTCACCTAGTGAATGCAATGTTGATTTTGGACTTCAGATCTTGATCCCATTTCTGCACAATCTCTCAAGAAAATCTATGGTGCCACATACATGTTTATGGCATCAGTTAACTGACAACAGTACTTTAAAATTAGCATGCACAATCTGATTCAAATATTCCTATATCTGCAATCACTCCCTTGCTTTCAATGGTTATGAGAGATAAGGGCTCTGACCTTAGAAATAACATGCTACAATGTGGTAGAATTTCATATAAAGCTGAGTTCAAGTCAGTATTTAAATGTAACTTTAAAGCACTATATTTATTTTTGTTTCCAGCTCAGTGAGAGATAAGAAGCACTGGAAATCCCCAGGACAACAACAGCATGTTCCTTTGCCCTTCTGTATGGCAAGTTTATTCCTTTTGCAGAACAAGAAGATTATCACATGAGATTGGGAATTCCCGGTATAGGATTCCCAATTCGGTATCTTCATGTGTCTTTGAAATTCTTAAAAAAGAAAAAGGGGAGGGAAACTATAAATCTGTCCTGTGTCCCTTTTTTTTTAGTAATATTTTCATTACTTTAGGACAGAAAATCGACAATCTATTCCTGCTAGCACTAACTATACACATATATAAAAATATAGATATACACTTATGTATATTTACATGCACATAAACACACAATACAATTTCCTCCCTCATCCCTATCCTGTGTTTGTATTGGGGTACAAACACAAGCTATTTCTTGAGTTTCAGCTGTGGACTTGTACCAGGCTGAAAATTGTCCTTTTAAAGCCAGTTTAGTTTTTATAATTCAAAAGAAAAACAGCACAAATCCTTCAGCACACTTTATTCTACAGGTGATGTTAAAAAAAAAAAAAAAAAAAAAAAAAAAAAAAAAAAAAAAAAAAAAAAAAAAAAAAAAAAAAAAAAAAAAAAAAAAAAAAAAAAAAAAAAAAAAAAAAAAAAAAAAAAAAAAAAAAAAAAAAGAAAAAAAAGAAAAAAAAAAAAGGAGTCAAACCCTGTGACCTGCAGTTTTAGTTACACCAAGGAGAAATTTCTGTGGAATACGTAATGAAAATGCAGATATAGATCACATTTCTTACCATGTCCCCAGGCTTGACAGAAACTGCCACCACTGTTCCAGGCATGGGAGATCTCAAAATGCTGGAGGTGTCCTCTTCTGCTTTCTCTGGCATATACTTGCTCAGCTCCGCAGCAACCTTCGTCAGTATTTGTAATTTGTACTAAAGAATAGGAAGAGGAATGTTTTAGACAACTGCACCTTGGTGAATTCCAGTCAATAATCTGCACTATTTTGTGTCATGTTTTTATGTAATACATCTGTTATCTGTTCTTCACAGGGGTGTCTAAAAAACACTGTTTGAAATCTTTATCCAGTTTCATTTTCAGGATGTAGAAAGAAAAATACGCAACCCCAATCTGCGGCAACGTGGACATAAAAGGAAAGAATCAAGTACAGTAAAGAGATGTCAAATTCATTATAAAATTAGGAGTACAGAGGGAAGATGCAAATTTAAAAACAGAAATGCTCTTATGTTTGCTGCACATCATCTTTGGTGAATAAGGAATATTGAGGGATTCATTTCCACTGCAGTACTGAATTGCAAATTGACCTTTTAGAAAAGTCTTCCAGACTTCAAACAACATGACTGATCTTAAACATTATGTTTAGTTTTACAACATTTCTTTTGACCACGTATTTAGTGTTTGAAGTTAATAACTTGCTCAGATTTTACAATTAAAACATATTAAACAATTTCAATTCTGTTCTTTCAGATGATGAAACATTGTTGTACTGAATACACTTCATCCATAATAAAAACTGTTTAGCAGCTATTATCTACCTTGAGAAAAAATGTTTTCTCTAAGTATTTTTTTATAGCAATTAGAAATGGAAGAGAATACGATGACCCTGAAGTGTCTAAGAGTATCTTTAAATAAACCTTTCTGAAAACATGTAGATGCTGCCTAAACTGATTTCAGCTGCAGGCTGTTAGTTTTTAAAAACTGTCAACTGTTTTAATCACTGAGACAGTTCCTTGTCCTCAGACAGACAGACGGTCTTCCCGTTTGTCCCAGGGCACCTGAAAGGGATTGCAAAGAGCCAGTAGATGGCAGCAGGTCTCTGCGTGACACTCCAGCCTCGCCAAGGCCAACCCGGCGAAGACCATCACCACACTTCATCAATAATTTAAACAAAGGTTTTAATAATAAGCATTGGATGAACTGCATTTACAATTCAAATGTGTATTTTGCCGATGTAAAGTTCAACACCTTGCTTGGAACAGTATGTTTTCCTCCAAAACAATTAGCTATTGTTTTATTAACAATAAAATGTCTTTACTTTTCATTTTTACATGGACAGAAAAAATCCGATATCCTTATGGTGAAGGTAAAGGGGAACTCTACCTTCTGCTTCTGTAGAGAGCACAACAAGGTATTTAAAAATACATGCAAAAGGTGATTAACTCAGCAATGACATCTTTAAAAAGCAGCTTTCAAAGGCAAATTAAAACAAGGTAATGGAGGATTATCATCATCCCCGAATAGCATGTGGACACACAACATTATGTGCAATGAACGGTGCAACCATTCACTTAGAAATACTTGCTTTAATCAGAAATATGGGCAAATGGTTAAGCGAACCAATTCCCGCCAGCTCACCCCAGTAAGTGATAAAATGCCACAACAATATTCCCTGAAGCTGTAAGGGGCACCCGAAGATTTGAGGACCCATTCCCAACCATGTGCCTTGGTTACAATGATGTAGCTCAGGGAAATCAGCCCCATTTTGTATGCAAAAAGCAGCTTTAACTCCAAGCCTCCCGCAGGCATCATCATGACAATTAAGACTGTGGCGCTCACGTTCTCCAACCCAACATACAGCTAGTTCTCTCCTAGCGCAAGCAACCGAGTTCAGTGTGATGTGCTCACTGCAGTCTCTTTTTTTGGAAGAGAAGTGCGCGTGTGCGTGCACATACACACACTTCCATGTAGGCTGTAGGGAGAGGGGAGGCGATGCCTATAGGAGAATTGGTGACATAAGTTGCAAATAGAATTGCAGCAGTGTGACAAGTCAAATAATAACATCTTATGCATGTTTCTTTACTCTTGAGTGTCTGTTTTGCAATCAAGACATACAAGTGTCTGCCAGTTTCTGAAGGATATGATCCTTAAGTGAAATTACTGTGCAAATAAAAGCTTTTTACTCCTATTAAAATTCATCTGAGTCATAAGTGGCAAGGAAAAAAAGCTTGCAGAGTGTATTCTGCTGTCAATCTAATAAACATTCTGTTCAGAGGGACTATTTATCAAAGATAAATTGTACTTAAAAGTCCTTCATTAAATCTATGGGGGGGAATATAATTACACCAAATTGCACAGTTTCAGTATCCACGGTTACTGTCTTCTTTGTACTCAGAGTTTAAAAATAAATAAAAATTTTTTTTTCAAAAAGGAGAGGAAAAAAAACCGGAAGAACATGGAAATAAGTTAGATTTGTGGATTGTATTATTGCCTCTTGCAAGAGACTATTTTGATATGATTTAAAAGGATTAGGAGTATGTGCCATTTAGTTTTTGAAGCCACATACAACACTTCCGAGCTGCCCAATTTCAAATTTAAACTTGAAGAGAAAGCCAGACCTTCATCTAGGTTACAATATTTCACAGGGGCAGAAATACAGAATTCCCTATGCACTCCACCACATACAGCAGTGGGGGAAAAATCACATTCCTCGGCATGCTGCACTTTAAAGCTCAGTTCTCCACACCAAGCTAAAATATCCCTACCAAACATTGTTTTTACTATCTTTATAATTTTCATATCTTTTAAATTCCTTTCTCTGTAGGACTCCTGCTTTACTTGGAGTGAGATGTAAGAGTCAGTACTCTCAAAGCTTTAAAACGCAGGTCTTTGTTATTGATGAGCTGTTCCTTTTCCTTTTGTATTTGTTTATTGTTCTTCAGTCTGTTTGGGGGATAAGCAAGTTACTGTAATCAAAAAGTAAAAAATAACAACAGTAAACTTCTGGGGAAAGGCCTTTTTTGGCACAGCTGGTTCACAAATGACCTTTCAGAATATAAAAAGACAAAGCCGAAAAGAAAGGTTCCTTCTTTAAGATTACCTTTGATGTATTTCGGTTGTTGGCTGGACAGCCCTAAATACCTGCATAAGTATCCCTCTGTGACTGCTGCTACTTATCCCTGGGGATGAGTTGTGGAGTGGGGTGCAGGGCGTTGCTCACCTAACCAGGGTGCAGCCTGAAGCTCGGGGAGATCAAACCACACAACGCCTGCCAGTGCTGCCACAACAATTAAGAATATCCCACATTTTTTCATTACATGACGAACGCGCTGCTATGCCTTCGATTTAGCGAGGACAATGCCGAACATAGGAAGCAGAAGTTTTGATATGCTACTAACCGAGTGCGGATGAGGTCCAGATTTTTTTCCTTTATCCTCAGGAGGAGGAGGAGGAGATGGGAGAAAGCAGGGGTGTAAATTGGGGAAGGCTGTGAAGTTTGGGTTATAAATAGCGACCAGGAGGTTTTCGCTGGCCTACACCAGAAGAAACATTTGTTGGAGTCATAAATAGATTGCAGGTGGACTCTGAGAGCAAGGAAATCTGCCAGCCATCAGATCTGCCCTGATGAGTAGTTGTCACCAGCCACTGCTTCACTCCACAGGGTTTCAAAGTCCGATTCTGCCAGCCCAAGTCAAGTCAATACAGCGGTACCAAAAGGAGCCATACAGCTTCCCATGACATAGAGACCAGGTGTTTCTTTTCCACCAGACTGTTGGGAGTCCACAGTCAGGTGACAAAAATTATAGTAGGGAAAACAGATGTTACTTAATAGTTTTCTAAGGGTAACAGTATCCTGTGCCCCACTAAATGAATTGGATGTTTATGTAATGCAACACTACCTCTTACAACCAAATGTCCATGACAACAATAAGAACATTAAAAGGTGCAATAACAGCAATGTAAGGGGGAGAGAGGCTAAGTGTGTAGCAGGGGTTGGGGGCTAGCTGGAGAAAAGTAAGCAGATAGGGTGAAAATTATACGTTGGGTTTTGTGGAGGTTTTTTGTTGATATTGATCCTCCAAGTCAGTAGACAAGTAGAATAGCTACTACGAAAAAAGGTGGCCAGAGAATATCTGGCCCCATCTGTGCTTAAAAACAAGCAGATATAGTTCCCTTACCATATGCAACAGAACATTGCAAACCTTCACTAAAATGCTCAAAATTGCACTTTCACATTAGTTTGTTAAATATGATCTTCCTTGTACCCTTGAAATTCGTGTCCCAGAAGCTGTAAACGTTTAAATTCCACTGGAGATTTTATAGACCAATCACTACCCATGTTGCTTATGACAGTGTTTGGACTGCTGACCAGATGTGGATTTTCGGTATGCTTTACCTAAATGTTCAACCATGTTTTTCAAATGTCTGTCATTCTTGTGGTCAGAAGGGCGAAAATCTTAGGCAGCTCAGATTTCAGTACAGAAATCGTCTGCTCTGTGTCTTCATTATTTTCACTAGCCTCACAGTCTCATTTTTGGAACCAGTGAAATGTGTTAACAGTGGTCACATAATTTTCCTTTAACATTCCACATCCTGCCTCTTTACTTAACTGTTGTCACCTGCGCTTTGACGTCACTGACTCACGAGGAGTATGTTATTCAGTATTCAGTCCAAGCAACACCAAGCAACGTTCCAGTTCTGAACACAATGAGCAAACTGCCTTTTTTATTATCATTATACACTTAACCATCATGACTGTACCCTTGCTTAGATTTCCACCACAGCACCTAAACAGGAAAATGATGTATTTATTCCATAGGACACGAAGACGTCAGGCATTACTTTCTTTCAGAGTCGAGGATTCCTTACTCAACAGGGAGATAAATGACATCTTGCAAATCACTGAGGCTTTTTCCCCCGAACACTGAGTTCTAGAGCTGATTTACTTCCACAGGGTGGTGGGGAGGACTAACATTAACACCTCCACAAAATATCGGCACTTTTAGTCTGATGGCAGAGCAAACACTCAACATGCTACGGAGACAGCTGATAAATAATAATAATAATAAAAAAAAAATAAAAATACCACAACAGCCACAAAAATCACGAGCCTTTAGTAGCAGCGAAAGGGAAAGAAAAACGAGAGGAGCCTCACCACCACGTAGTACACACTCCAGCAGCAGAAACTTAATTAGAC